TAAATTGTGTGTGAAAACATTGAAAAGTAGGATTTATGTTTGGAGATATGGTAAATATTGATTCCAAAGTGGACATTTTAGTCATTTCAATTTAAGGGTATTTAAGACTTTTAATATATGATTAAATGGACTATGGGCTATCTGAACAATAAGTATTGAGTTAGGCTATTTTGCCAAACAACATGGTTGACTGGCCTCTTTAAGCAAATCCCCCATTTGATTTTCGCGGTTTCTACTATCGGAAATTATGGTGCGGACAGAACAGTGCTCGGGTGAGGGTAAGTGCAATACGGGAGGATCCGGTTTCGATGACGCTGTTAAGTTGCGAACGAACCCTTCAGCGTGTTTGGCTTAGCTTAAAAAGGTTAATGGAAACTGAAGTAACATTTCTTCTTAACGATTTTTATCTCTTTAACAAAGCTATCCCTCACATTTCAATTCTTGACATGCCTAATCTCTAATAAAGACACTGTTCAGAAAAGGTTGTCGAGTTATCACGTGCCACTGTGCCATCAAAGAATACGAGGATATAATATCTGATCACGAGTTAAACTTTAAATATGTAATCCCTTTTATAGCTCGGCTTCTCATCATCCCTATATTTATCTTAGCTTTTCTTCGTTGGAATTTTTTAGCAATCGTCATTTGGTAATACATACATTAAAAATTGAAATCTCAAAGATATAAGAAAAGAAGTTGAATGCTGCTTGGGAGCTTACGGTTTCATGTTCTATTTCACTCTTGATTGGGGTTCTTTTCATCATTCCCTCACGATACTACTCAACTCCGGGTCTTGTACACATCGCCCATCATACTGTGGGAGCTCGGCAACGAATCACGATGATTGGACAAAACCAAGAAATCACTCCTCACGTACGAAATTATAAAAGATATCCCCTATTGTCAACCCATTACCTATTTGAGTTAACTAGACAACATTGAACGTGCATCGTACATTATTATGAAATGTTTTATAAATCTTGTAAGAGTGATAGTTGAATATGCGTAAATATTAGTTATTTTAAACTTAATACCAGGGAAGGATTCGTTGTCCACGCCTTACTACACAATCATGTCGAGATAATGAATGTTAAATTATTTATTGAATTTTCTAGATGTTAATTAACATGGATGTGGATAATGAAATGCATTATTAAATGTGAAATTCTAATTAACTTACAATTAGAATTAATAACAATGAAAAACTTAAATGAAGATGAATATTAATTCAATAAATGTAAATGTTAATTAATTAAGAACTAATAATAGAGAATTTATACATTAATGAAAGCACACGAATGAAATGAATTTATCAAATGTACATGTACATCGATTGTAATTAAATAGTTAAATAAATTAAATATATATTGAAAAACTAACCTATTATTAAATAAGAGGAAATTACACAAAACCATAGTTTAGGTATTCACATTATCAGGTTAGAAGTTTCACATTTCCAAAATCAGATATTTTTTATTTTAATTAATATTTTTATATAATACTTTTATAAAATTAAATTACTTTACATACCCGCCACCCCTAATTTCATCCCCAAACCCTAAATTAATTTTCAATCTCTACTGTGTCTCTTCCATCTCTACTCCACTCCACCCTTCTCTACTCTCCCTCCTCCCATTCCGTCGTCGGTCCGGCGATTCATCGCCCCACCCAGCAGATTGTCACAGTCGCTGCGAGCGTCTTGGTACCTCTTCTGCTGAGTGCCTCGCGCGGCACCGCGATCGTTGAGGAGAGATTTAATTGGTGGTTGAAGCGGCACCGCGATCGATGTGGAAAGATTGAAGAGGCGTCGTCTCAAAGCAGTTATTATCAACAGTGGTGTGGCTTAACCTAGCAACGTCACTCGACATAGCTTCAATCTTCGTGTTGCAGATTGCGATGCTTTTCTGAAAAATTACATATTTTGAATGTGAGGTCGTTAATCGAGAGATTTAGTTTTTGAAGATCGATGTGGTGGTGGTGGTGGTTGATAAGGTGTCGATGACAATTGGTGGTTTCTATGGGTTGATGTGGGCAGAGGTGGTGAATGGTAGCGAGAGGTGAGAGATTGGAAAATATGGCAGTTGCGTGAAAGAGACGGTGAGTAGTGGTCTGGTTTGATTTTAGTAGAGGCTATTGGTGGTTTGTTTGTTGATTTGGAGAGGTGATGGTGAAATTATGGTGGCCGACGGTGTCGCAGTGAGTTAATCTGGCCGGCAGAAGACTGGACAACAGGCGGTGGTTTTGGGGTTTTTTTTGGTGGTTTGGAAATGGTGGTGGTGGTGATCGTGGTGCGGCGATGGTGAGGTTGTGGTGGCTGCGACGACAATGGTGGTGGAAGTGTTGGTTGGCGGGATTTAATTTGGATCTGATTTGTTGCTGAAAATGGTGGTGGTGGAGGCGGTGACTGGTGGCAGTGGAGATAGAGGTGTTGTGTCGTAGCGATGGTTGTGGTGTATGTGACCAACTATTTAGATTAACTGTTACCTTAAAATTCGACAATTTGTGACTAAAAATTAACATGTGACTAATAAATTTGAAAATATGTGATTAAACAAACAATCATGCGTTGTGACTTGTGACCTGGCCTGTGACTTGATTGTGACTTGTGACCTGAGCTGCGACTTGTGATATGAGCTGTGACTCTTGACTTGTGACCTGAGTTGTGACCGTAAAAAAAAACATGTCAACTGTACAAAAAAATATAGCGGAGTTGTCGCCGGAATATTCGCCGGAATTGGAAAAACTGTCGGATTGGAGTAGTCGCTGGGAAAAATCGTCACCGGAAAAGTTCGCCGGAATAGTCGTCGGGAAGTCACCGGAAAATTTCGCATGACAGTCGCCGGAAAGTTCGCCGGAGTAGGGCGGTGATCGGAACGGTTGCCGGAGCGGTAGGGGTGGTCAAGGTGGGATGGGTTAATTATATTATATTAGAATTAAATATTTAATAATAAATTAATTTAATAATTTATTATTTCATAAATAAAAATTTAAAAAAAATCTAATAAAAATCTGATTTTTGTAATTTTAAACTTGTGTTCTTATTTTTGAAATAAACTAAACTTATACTCTTAAATATGTAATCTTCCCTTAAAATAATTGAATTATAGTAGGGTTAGAATCATCCAAAAAAATATTATCACTTGATATGATGTTTACACCATGCTTGATGCACATTATTCTTCGAAAAATGCATTTTAAATAGTCATTTGAAGGAAAATATGTGATTGAAAAGTAAGAATTTTTTTTGAATTTACGTGTAATATTATTTTATTGAAAAATGTGTGAAAGTAAGAGTGAGAAAGATGTATTTTTTAGGAGAATGGATATCAAACATGATGTTAATATATTATAGATTTCTACTATACGCGCGTTTCTCGTCTCATCGCCGATACTTCAATTCGAAAAAAATGCACTCCTACTAGATCGCGACTATATTTCAAGAATTGCCACTATGGAAATCGGTGGGCACGTGCAGCAGAAAAAAATTGGATCATATTATAGATATCGAATTTTTTTATCGAATATTTTACCTACTACTCACGATTAGGATGTGAACCACATTATCAAAATTTTTAAATACACGCGTGCATTATGCGAGAGGAAGTAATATATTATGTACAAATCATCTACAAGTGGATCTAACCACAAAAAAAAAATTCTTCACGTTCCAGTACAAAAGGCAAAATTACACTACAGAAACTTCAGTCCTAAAAAATAGCATTTCCCGGCTCCAAAAATATCTCTCACAAACAGAATGGCGACGACAACCGCACCAGAAGTCGAAAACCCTAGAATTCTCTCAGATCCCAATCCAACAGAACAGAAATGGTCACCATCGTCCGCCGACGGTGAAGACGAATCGAAGGTAAAATTGACTATGGAGGCTGTGAAAGTTGATGGTGTTGACGGCGCTTCAGCGGCTACTGATGTTCAGAAGAAGATGAAGAGAGCCGAGCGCTTTGGGATGCCTGTCCAGCTCTCGGAAGAAGATAAGCGCAATTCTCGCGCAGAGAGGTGTTCTAATTTACTATTAAATAACTGCTTCGTTATGATTTTGAACACTCGTACACGAGGATTAGGGTCTTAGCCACGATTCACGACCCGTAATTTGCCCTCTCCCCCTTTTTTGTTTTTATATGTTACAATTTGAAGAGATTATGTGCGCGTTCTTTTCAATTCGATTGCAGGGTTCATTCCCGAGTTTCCTTGTAGAAGTAGCAGCTGTTTTAGTATTTTCGTTTTCAGAAATCGTAATCTGCTACATACGATTGCAACAGTACTTGATTTACTAGCATTTCTTCTATATATCGTCTGACCATATAACTATAACTTAACTATGTCGATCCTGCCTGTCTAGGCAGCGATAGTCATGTAATTGATTCATATCTGCTGCTATTTATTACTGAAGTGATTAGGTCTTGAATTTTGTTTGCTTTGATGAATGTCATTCATAGGCTTTCCGTCAGTCTAGAATACTTTTATCTTGGCTGATGAAAGGGCTATTTTGCCACTGAATATTTATTTTTTTATTCCTTACATTGTCAGCTGATGGTTTTATCCTTTTATTATGCTTATTGCTTACTGCTACTCAGCATGTTCACCAGGCCTTTTGGACTCTGTCAATTACAGATTCTGCTACTCATCCTGCAGAATATAGTGACCTATTTAGTGAGTCCACCTCTCTAATTGCATTAGTTGACTCCAGGTTTGGCACTGGTAGTGCCTCGCATGGATCAGATTCATCAAAGCAATCAGAGGATCTGAAGAGGAAGGCTCGAGCAGAGAGGTTTTTGTCTTTGCGCACCTGACACTGACTTGCGATTTTAGTTGATGTGTTTGCTTTGACATTTTATGGTTGTTTCTCAGGTTTGGGATTGCACAGTCTGCACCTACTGACGAGGAAGCAAAGAAGAAGGCTAGAGGTGCTAGGTTTGGATCTGTTGCAAAGGCTGATTCGGCTGAGGAAGAGAAAAAGAAAGCAAGAGAAATAAGGTTGTTGTTGCCACATATTTATCACCTTTTCCTTGTGTTTTGATAGGGTTTAACATAACACATATTATTGTGTGCAACTATTAGTGTGGGGAATCCTTTATACTACGACAAAGTAGATTCACAAGACAACTTTTTTAGTCTAGGCCGTGTTTGATATTGTTTTCCAAAAATTGTTTGCAGTTTTCATTTTCTGTTGCTGAAAAATCTTTGCATGTTGTAAATTTTTCTAACCAGTAGTTAATAGTAATGGAAGTTTTCCCTATAATGTCAAACAAAATCTAACTTCATCAATTCAATTTTTTGTTGTAAAAAAAATCAGCTAGAATATTTTTTCTTAATGGGGAACAAATACTACATCTAAATGATGTTTTGTTCAACTTATTATCTTTTATTAAATAGAAAAGTGCAAACTATATATGCACACACAATTGACTCCGAATAGGCTGATGAGTTGGTCCAACATTATTTTGCAGGTTTTCACAACCACAATCTGGTTCCCTGTCAAAAGCTAATGTCGAAGAAAACAATGAGTTGGTAAGTTATTTTATATGCATTATATGAAGGAACTAGATGTTTATAGTCCCCTAACTTTTGGTTCCTTCTGCATTGGTTATTCTATGTACATATTTCAGAAGACAGCTATTTCAAGCAAGGCTGGTGAAGGAACCTGAATAACTGTGCTCTTTATTCAACAGCTAGACGTGCTTATAGGTAGTTTTATATGCTTGGTTGTCATGTACTTCTATTTTTCTAAACGCTACATACCTTAATGTACTAAAGTTTCTGATGCCCCCTCCCCTTTTCCATTTCAGGTTGGCAGATTATATTAGTAACGTCTTGATTTCTCCCAGTAGCTTTCATGGACAATTTTCTGACATGGATTCTGTGCATTTACACCCTTTTACATCACCTCCAATTGACATTGATAAATTTTCTATCTTCTCTAGTTTTGGGTTCTGTTAAGCTTTACCTGGTGAGGCCTAGGAAAATTACACCAACCATTTTGTTATGTTACATTCTAAATGACATATCAACCATATCAAAACTACTGAATTCAATGACTGGAAAAAAATTATCAACTTGCAGAGTTCCTGTAAGACCGTATGACAATTTTTTTTCAGTTGGCCCATCTTTCTTCCATCGTTTGTTTCTATCCTTTTTTGGAGCTTAGTTTTGTGTAACGAATTCAAGAAAAGCACTTCCATGTTTTTTTTTTCTGTTCTTTGTGACAGGTGGTTTATTGTGAGAATCTCTCTCTTGCACTTTCTTGCTGCATCCATGAGTCTGGTATAACTTATTAAAGTTTATTGGTGTCAGAAAAACTGCTTAGTATCAACTTGTAGTGCCCTCCAATTTGAGACTGATAATCAGCAATAGCAGCGTAAAACTACTAGATCATTGTCTTATTTTAAGATATCAGAATGTTGCTTTTTTTTTTTTTCCAAAATAGGAAGGGAACGTTGCTATGTTTAGATTTTATGCAATTGATCAATTAGCAAAGCTTTACTGACATCTCAGGCTTTCAAAATCCACAAAAAAGCATTAGCATTTTTATATTTTATTCATTTATGTTTATGTTTGTATATCCAGAATGCATTTTAAAAAATCAGAAGTTTCAACCTTTTGCAATAATTTTGTTCCCTTGCTCCAGAATCAAAAGAAGAAGTATCCGTGCTAAATGATTTAGAATGTAATGATGCATTTCAGAGGAAGCATTATCCTAAATCAGAATACATTTTTGCATGGTTTCTTTGCCATTTATATCTTGAGAGTTGGCGTGTCTGGTAAATTCTTCGAAGGAATGGATTAATGGATTCCTAGGTTGAGAGTCTGAAAGTTAAGTTTCTAAATTGATTTAGAAGTTATACATTTTCTGTACTTCATAATTTCTGATATGGTTGGTCATTTGGGATAACTGGACACTCTGGAAGGTGTTTGGCAGTCATGGTCTCACCAGGTGAATGTACTAGGGTTGTAGTGTGTGCAGAAATCAGTGGACTGCATAATACACTTGTATTATCCAGTTTTTTTAATAATATTGTAAGGGAGAAGACTATATATTTTTTTTCTTTTTCTTTTTCTTTTGTAAAGACAGGCGAGTTTATTAGTTATCCTTTCAGTTATGAATGCTTTTCTGCTTCTGTAGTATGATATAATTGAAATATCCATATTATCCTCTACTTTGGAACAGTGCTTTTGAATAAGAATGCTGTGATGAATCTATGGATTTTTACATTTTGGTCCACCATCTCCAGTGCAAATGGACTTCTAATTATAGTGGTAATTCTAAGCGTAGAAAAAGTAGGCATTGATTTTTAGTAACTTGTGTTAATTGTATATTTTACCTTTTTTTAATGTAAAAGTTACTTATTTTCGAAGTACTTGCTACAACAATGTTTTCACGATAATGTCGAAAACAAGTTACCCCTTTTTCTCACTTTAGAATAGAACTTTTTAATTATCGTATTCATTTTTAACTACATATTAACGTAATAAAATATTTTGTATATAAATTCAAAATGTATTTTTACTTTTTAACTGCACATTTTTCAAAAAATCATTATTCAAAACATCATTTTTTTCTACCAAACAAGCTCTTAATAATGGCCATCAAATTGGGGGGCTTGATAAGTTTCTTCTCATTATAGCAACATTCTAAATCAGTTCTTAAATCAACTGATCAATTTTATTCAGGAAAAAAAAAAAGCACTCTCCTCTATCACCTCTATGCATAGATGCAAGATAGTGCTTAAAAAAAATGTTAATATAAGCTCGTGGCAATATTATCACCTTCGTCACACCAACAATTTATCTACCCAACTTTAATCATGTTCGTGCTTCTGCGTTTTCTTTCCATTGAGCTTTGAAGTTGTTCTTTAGCATGCCGTAAAGCATCAAGCACTTCTTTCACGGTAGCATCAAGAACCTCTGGGTCAATGGTTTGCTCCGTTTCTAGTTTCTCGACCTGGACTAATGCCAACGAGTTATCTACATGATTTTCCTCGTCTTCATCATTTTGTTGGTTATTTTCTTGATCTTGACCTTTTTCTTGGTTCACTTCCTCTTCTGCAGAAGGTTCCACACTGCGAAGGATAACAATTTCTGTCAGATCACAATCTAGTTATTCTGAATCATCATAGACTTTTGATACAATCTCAAATTTATAGGGAGCTAGAATTCTATTACAGTAAGTATTCGAGAATCAAGAATAGTGCAAAAACTGAATGACATTAGTACTAATCCTTACCTCAGCTTATCTGTACTGGTAATATTATAATTCTGATTGGACTCAAGTTCACTGGATCCTCCTGAACTTTTACACAATGGATCGATAACCTCGGAAAAAGGATCGACTCTGAGGGCTGGACAAAGGAGTCCCGCGACCTCGTGATGGCCTTGCTTGCTCTCAGGTTCACTTGAAGAGCAATTCTTTACAGTTACTGGGCTGCTGCCATGGCTTTCACTGGATAGACTTGTTTGTGAATCAATACGTTTCAAATTATAAAACCCTATTGGGAATTTGATATTCTCCTCTGAACAAACTGGAAAATCTTTCATTTGGGAATTTTTGGTACTTATATCTTCAGATTTTGAAGAAGCTGTAGATGATAATGATGATGTAGAGGTGATATCACTCCTATCCAGTAAGCCTGATTCAGATGAATCATATGAAATGTTGTTGGATTCAAGCTTTTTCATTAGGGATTTTAGCTTCTTCTCTGCTCTGTTTCTTGATTTGTCTTCTTTTTTCAGCAGATTTTCAAGCTCAATCAACTGAAATTTTCACACAGAAAAAGATCAATTGAGAAGTCCGGATTTTTCTTATAATTTTGGGATTAAGAGAAATGTAGATTCATAGAGAGAGAGAGAGAGAGAAAGACACACACACACACACACACAGACCTTGTTTCCCAAGTGTTCAGCCTCCATTTTTGCGTTTCTTGAAGCTACTCTTTCAGCAAGTAATCTTCCTCTAAGACAATCCACTGTCCTCACACTCTCTTCTACATTTATCTTTTCCTCTCTGAACAAAAATCACATTTCAGATTTGTATATATTACACACACAAACACACACTAAAGGGAGGAAATTACCTCCATTTTCCATCTGCATTTTCTCCACCTGTCATCTTCTACTTCCCTTTGACACTCAAAAGCCCTTTATCAAGGCAACCAAAATCACCTAAATTCCTTAAGAGAAGCTGAAAATCATTATGGGATTTTTTTGAATGGGTGGAAATGAATTTCTTGCTTTTTGAAAGAACAAAACGTATCGAAAGATGGGAGTCTTGCTCCCACAATCAATGGCTTTTAGCTCTACGACGCATAGCAATTGCCTTGCATTAAAGTTTGTAACTGTTCTCATTTTTGATACTGTAACCGTCCATTTATTGTCACAATTTGAACCATTTCGAAAACATTTGTCTTGCTTAAAGTTTACTTGTAATTAAGTCGAAAATATCAGGTGGAAAAAAGTTTCTTTTGACAATTAAATTAAAAAAAACTACTCTTAAATAAGTATTTTATTAATAAAGTTCAAAATTTTAATTCGTCTCTTGAATAGAATTAGGCCCCGTTTGATAGGCGTTATTTTTCAGTGAATTAGGAAAATATTTTCAACTCTTCACTTTTTTGGCTGTTTAATAGGTAAAATTTTCCACGGAAAATATTTTCCTGGTTTCGCCCACACGTGTGCATTTTCCGGGTTTTTGAGGCTGACTGCAATTTTTTTTTT